TATTTATAAAGCGCCTTTCAGGACACCCAAGGACACTGTACAATAGAAAAAAGTTAGTTATGATCAACTTCTCATGATGATAAGTCACGACAGGATAAAGAAAAATGCCCAATCTGTTGGTCCATCTCCTGCTTCATCCAACCTCTACGTATAAACAAGAATCCCAGATTCCTGAATTCCTCTGCTTGAGGCAAAGACTCTCCTCCCAAACGGAATCTTTCTTTTACTTGTATGTCGAGCAGCATATTTATGCTTCTGTTTGCACCACTCAGTGAGACTCTCATATTGCTGTGCCTGTGGTATCCAAAAATATAGGTTTTCATACATAAAAATGATGCATCTTTAAAAAAGCATTGAGTGGAAAAATGGTTATAAAATAGTGTGCCGTATTATGAATAGCAAATATTATTTATTTGCTGAAATATATGGAGGAATAATAGCTGAACAAATGACCCTTCTTTTGAATGCAAATTTAGTCTCTCCGCTCATTCTGGGCCTAAGAGCTTCAGGAGAAATCTGCTCATTTATCACTGATGACACTTTAGATTAGCACAGTTTTTATGCTGCTGTACTGTACTGRACTGTAAAAAGCATTTCCAGACTGATTTCAAAATGACATTTTCACAAGTTATGAACATTTATTTAAGACACAAAATGTAAAAGATACTTTAAATGAAATCCCTCATGAACAATTATCTCGTTCATAATTCATAGGCAAAGATTAGTGTCACTAATCKCAGTTCTGTCTAGATTTAAACCCTCATTTCTCTCAGTTCACCTGAATCTGAGGCGTTCTGATTATGCAATAAATCTCAGTAAACTCTGACACAGACAGGTTATCTTACAACATTCATGTAACATTCAAAGAAAACATAACAGGCTTAATTTTAAACAATTTTTATGTGAAGTACTTCATGAAACAGTCAAATATTTATTGTTTACATCAGTATTTAGCTATCAGGTTTACACATTTTTTTAATGTCTTGCTGTTCAAAGCAGATTAACATCACGCTCAGAGAAACAGAAGGCTTCACCTGTTTGTATAATGCATAAAATTTAATCCCAAAAATTATCAATGTTGGGGAGTCGTGTTATACATGGTCAGTGGTGGGCACTAGTCCCTTAAAGGGCAAATGCGCTAATTGTAGACTTAAATTTCACCTTTGCGCTTTAGGGGTTTTACAAATTTCTTAAAATGATGTGCGGATTTGCACTTTCTAAATTTAGAATAAAGTAGTGCGAATCACAAATAATGTTTCATATTCAAACGTCATTTTCATCTAAAGCAAAGATAAAGATTTGTCCAGTCTCACTATGTTTTGTAGCCACATAATTCATTAAAACGTCTTCATTGTTTTCTTGAACAGTGAAGGGGAAAGCCATATCTACTCAACACAATAGACCTCCACTGTGAGGAAACAGCAACCCCTCCGTCAGCATTGCATTCACAGAGCTTTATACTGTGACTTCTGTCTCTTCTCGGTGAYKGTTTTCATTTAGTAGAGACTGTTCCCACAATTCTTTGCGTGGCAGGAAGCAATTAGAACTTCTTCACTGGGTGACAATCCACCTGCGGTTCTGCTCTGCAGAACCACGCGCAGCTGTGCAGTTTGTACATCCTCTCCAAGGGACACCGCAKCCATAAATATTAAATAAATAAATAATAGTAAAGAAAGAAACAGTTTAAGTTCACGCTCTTATTTTGAAAAGAATGGAGTTCCTGTTGTGTATCCTGTAGCCTACCCAGAATGCATTGCTTCAGTTTTACAACAGTTTAAAATTTCTACTATATCTGCATGTTTTCTTACCGAAGCCCTGCCATAAACAAAAGAAAATGACCAAGAAGCAGCAGAACTAGCAATCAACAACTATTTTTTGTTTTACAAAAAATTGTATTTTTTGTTTCTACAAATCACCTCCCCAAACTGCAACATGTTCCAATCGGTTGAAGAAAATAATCTTACCACTAGATAGATGGTAGTAAAGTGCTGACTTTCCTCTTACCTTAATGTTTTCTGGTAAAGGGAGAATTTATTGTGCTTTAAAATTAGCTTCTGTTAAGTTTTATTAATCACATGTGCTTTTGAACTTGTGGATCTAAATAAACTGACTAGYGYTTTAGAAATTGCGCAACTAAAATTTGAATTAGCGCTGCCCATCACTGTACATGGGGGTAAATATTGACCAATTGTTTGCTAAAGTACTACCACATTAAATGCAAATATTTTCTTATATAGGCYGATGACTGCGTTATGAATATGGGGAGAAATACTTTAAGTTGAACATAGTTAAGCATATAAACCAGTTGTAATTTTCACTTGGTGATGTATCAGATGTTTGAAGAGAGGTTTGTGGGTTTTTATGATGTGTACATACAGAAAAAACTTGTTTTGTTCTCGTCAGCCACGGAAATGGAAGAAAACATGGAAGACATTGAAGTTAAAAAATGAGGGGTGGCATTATACTCCAGTATTTATGCATAAATACGATGGTTGAAGATGTACATACAGAAGAGTGATTATTGTTTAACCAGTACAAGTGTTTTAATGACTGACGCCATGTTTTAGAAATCAGGACAATCGATGGTCKATAAATGAAACCTCCCTCTTTTTGTTAACACTTGCTTAGCTTTGTAGATGTTTAGCATTAGATAAAAAAGACTAAAATAACTGAAGAYATTTGGGCAAATGCTTACAGTTAGATTGTGCAATAGTCAATGAGACAAGTATTAAAAATTCTACCCGTAGACAGTTTCTGTATAACTTAGCATCATATTCTTGCAATTTTTGTAGGGTCTTTGCAAAATAAATAAATAAATAAATAAAAATAGCACCTCTGCCATGATAGGCACTTTGTTGTGTCAYTTATATGCATGCCTGGACAAGCCTATTCTATTTTTAGAACTGCAATATTCATCCTGATTAATTGCTAAACCAATCAGCTGGTATRCTGCCAGTATGGAGATATGTTTTTGTTAGGTGGCTAAAAAACTGATTTCTTCTTACCTGTCAGGTAAAACTCTCTTGCTGTAGAAATCAGGCAGTCCGTCCTCCAGCATACTGACTCCTCCGTTCTCAGAGCAATGCTACACACACACACACCAGAAAACACAACACCAGTGATCAGTTTGCCATGTCTCCAAAAAGCTCAAAGGCTGACTAAATGTATTATCCTTTCAAATGACAGCCTGACAAACAGGTCCATATCCAACAGAGGTCCATTTGTTAAACTTCTTTTTAACACGCTGCTCCAAGTAAATTTGCATCCATTTAGAGTAAAAAAAAAGGCTTTTAGAAAGGCTCAAAACAAACAAGCTGCTCAGTTTGTTGATGCCCCTGGGAGATGGCAGTGTGCTATTAACATTTGAATCACAGAGAAACATGTGGCAGCTTCCTGCTTTAAAGGAAACTTATTTTTAGCAAGTGCCTCTGGCTACGAACACCAGATGAATAACTGAAGTTCACACAGAGCAACCGATGGAAGAGGGAAAACACATTCCTGAAAACTTTTACACCTTTGGTTTGCAGCCTGTGACCTTCATGCTGTGGGATGAGTTCAGAAACGGGCCAATTTACTGCGTAAACGGGGGTCCGGCTCAGATATTTGCCAATAAATCAGACAAAAAAGGCAGGCCATGTTTATAAAACTGCACCGGGAAACCTTATTCTGCCCAGTGGAGTTCAGAAAAAGAGTAAAAAAAAACTGCAGCATTTACTCACAGATTCAGGAGGAAGGTGAACGGCTCGGTGTCGCCGTGGTGGGCGAGGCCTGACGTGGGTCACGTGGCGCAAGGGCGAGCCATTGGTGGGCAGGGTGGAAAGACATTCCCATGATGCCGAGTGAGTGAGGGAGGCAGAGTGGGACGGGGCAGAGGGCGTTGGAGAGGGACTGGGCTCATCACCCAAACCTTCGAAATGAAATGCGACAAAAATCTCATTATGTTTTCACATTCGACCCGCAGCCCACAAAATATTAACCTCCGCAAGGTTCACTTTTATTACAGATAAATGGGACATCAGTTTTAATTATTTGTGAAAATATAACAGATTTTTTTTTTACTATGCATGAATTGGATACACGTACCTTTTGCTAATGAAAGCTATTCTTTTATTTTAAAAAAGACATTAACAATAAAAATATTGTATTAGTATTGTATTGGCGTTTAAAAGTATTTACATCAATTCTCATCAATTTAGGAAGAAGTATAGATACTGGGGTTTAAAAAGACCTGTAGAAGATGAAGTATCAACTCAAGCTTCTTACTCAAGTAAAAGTACCGGTTTTAAAACCAATCCATCCATCCATCCATCCATCCATCCATCCATCCATCCATCCATCCATCCATCCATCCATCCATCCATCCATCCATCCATCCATCCACTTCTGCTTGTTCCAGTCACAAAAGCTTGAGATGTTTTAAACTACTTAAAATGTAAAAGTAATGTAAGAAAACTTAAAAGTCAATAGGACAAAAGCCCATGCAGTGCTGAATGAAATTTTGTGACTAAGTGAGTTTTAGATCCAGTCTTGTATTTTACACTTCATGATCAATTACAGCCATTTGCTTTAAACAGGGGGAGARTCAGTATGTTTCTATGTAATGCGTCCCTCCTCAGCAGTAAAAACAAGGAATGGTCTGATGTGGGTGTGAGCAGGGTGTTCTGTTAATGTTTGGGTTTTATCAACCACTCGGGAGTTTTATTTTTATTTTTTATTTTTAGTCTTGGAAGAKAGGGAGACTTTAGTGTAAGCTGCTGTTGATTCTGATCAAACTCAGGGTCAAAGAGACAGGTGCAGGGAGACTGAGGCTCTGAGCACTGAAGTGGAGTTACAGATTTGAAGAATAAAGAGTTTTAAAAGAGAATCAACAGCTTTCTGCGCAATTATTCTGGCTATCAATTATTGATCACGTTTGATTACATTTTTTCTAAAGGCCTTAATGACTCGTTATATTAAAATGTTAATGTTGAAAAATGCGGCATGAATTAGGCGACCTGTTTCAGCTGCACATTTATCTCTGCAACCATCTTCTTCATACTAACTACATGTGTCTGATATGTCCTGCTGGTGTGTGTCATGTGCAGGTGTAATGGATCATGTATAAACCAATATTGTCGTACTATTATACGGGTCCTTCTCAAAAAAATAGCATATTGTGATAAAGTTCATTATTTTCTGTAATGTACTGATAAACATTAAACTTTCATATATTTTAGATTCATTGCACACCAACTGAAGTTGTTCAAGCCTTTTATTGTTTTAATATTGATGATTTTGGCAAAAAAGTAAAGCAAAAACAAAAATTCCTATCTCAAAAAATTAGCACATCATGAAAAGGTTCTCTAAACGACTTATTAACCTAATCATCTGAATCAATGAATTAACGCTAAACACCTGCAAAAGATTCCTGAGGCTTTTAAAAACTCCCAGTCTGGTTCRTTACTCAAAAMCACAATCATGGGTCAGACTGCTGACCTGACTGCTGTCCAGAAGGACATCACTGACACCCTCAAGCAAGAGGGTAAGACACAGAAAGACATTTCTGAACAAATAGGCTGTTCCCAGAGTGCTGTATCAAGGCACCTCAGTGGGAAGTCTGTGGGAAGGAAAAAGTGTGGCAGAAAATGCTGCACAACAAGAAGAGTTGTCAGTCAGTGATGGTCTGTGGTGCCTCAGCTGCTGGTGTTGGTCCACTGTGTTTTATCAAGGACCAGGGTCAATGCAGCTAGCTTTCAGAGTTTGGAGCACTTCATGCGTCCATCTGCTGAAAAGCTTTATGGAGATGAAGATTTCATTTTTCAGCACGACCTGGCACCTGCTCACAGTGCCAAAACCACTGGTAAATGGTTTACTGACCATGATATTACTGGGCTCAACTGGTCTGCCAACTCTCCTGACCTGAACCACAGAGAGAACCTGTGGGATATTGTGAAGAGAAAGTTGAGAGACACAAGACCCAACACTCTGGATGAGCTTAAGACACAAGACCCAACACTCTGGATGAGCTTAAGGCCACTATCGAAGCATCCTGGGCCTCCATAACACCTCAGCAGTGCCACAGGCTGATTGCCTCCATGCAACGCCACATTGAAGCAGTCATTTCTGCAAAAGGATTCCCCACCAAGTATTGAGTGCACAACTGAACATAATTATTTGAAGGTTGACTTTTTTTGTATTAAAAACTCTTTTCTTTTATTGGTCGGATGAAATAAGYTAATTTTTTGAGATAGGGATTTTTGGTTTTTCTTTACCTTTTTGCCAAAATTATCAATATGAAAACAATAAAAGGCTTGAACTACTTCAGTTGGTGTGCAATGAATCTAAAATATATGAAAGTTTAATGTTTATCAGTACATTACAGAAAATAATGAACTTTATCACAATATGCTAATTTTTTGAAAAGGACCTGTAAATGTGTTCTTCTCATCCAAACACAATTAAATTCACAGGTGTATATTTTGGAGGCACCACTATAGATGGTTAGGATTTTTTTTGAACAATGACAGACCAGAATAAAAACAGCCTGAAATGTAATTGGAGTAATGAGACTATTTTGAAAATGTAAGAATAGAAGTAAAGAGTATTTGTACTTCATTACCCAACACCTGTGAGTATTAGTATCAAAGGAAGAAGAAATGCACTCTTATTGTTTGGTTACCTCTGAGATTGAACATTTTCTTTAATGAGCTTTGATTTAAAGCAACAAACTCACTCATTCTGGTGGAAACCGGACGAATTCTTCGGGTTCTGGAGCTTCGTTTTTTGATGGCCATCGTGTCCTTTTGGCAAATGAGAAAAAGATGCAATTGTGAGCAGAAAAAAAAACTTTTCACTTTCATACTGTCCTGCTAGCTTTGTCTTACAGAGATAAACACAAACCAATTTCCAAAAGAGAGTAACAAAAACATGAGATTTTAGCGACTGATTGGAAGTTGAAAAAGACTGATGAGATTCTCTCAATCTCATGTTCTGAACAATTTATCTCCAGATAAACATGTTGCCTTTACCTTGTTTTATTTTTCCATATTAAGATGTAAAATAGGCCGCTTTCTCAAAACTACGAGAAGATTATAGCACAAAAACAGCAGGTTCTTGTGTTACATCCAGTTTCTTTGGTCTGCTTTAGTGTTATGTTGTAGAGGTGTACTGTATGTTTGTGTGCTGATGAAGATTTTCTCCATCATCAGATRCTTGACTGTCCAAATATCTGATAACAAGAAACCTTTTGCTTTACTGTGATTTTAAAATAAGTTCTTGGTTGAAGTGGAGTTCTGTGGCAAAGTAGTATCTTACATGTTGTAGGTCACCCTTTGATGGATCTCAACTGGACAAAGTTAGAATTTGACCGGACTGATAACTTAGACATAAAGTGGATTGGTACCACAAATCCAGTCTTGAAAAGTTCCTATCTGCTCAGACAAGTTCTATTATTTCTTTTAAACTTTACCGCACCATCAATTTTACATTACATAGTTAGCATCTGCAACCAAAAAGCTTGAGTTAGCTGCTATTGCTGCTGTTTTCACTTGCAAATAAACATGATTCCATAAAATAATTGATATAATTGTCATGTTGAGGTATGAAATAAAGAGATTTCAAGAACCACTTCAAAGTTTTTGAGATTGGAGTTATTTTAAGACAGCAGCAATCCACTTTACACTTGGCCCCTGCCCATTAATTTGAGCGTAAAAAATAATTTGTCCAAACTGAGGTCATTTAAAGAGCTATCTGCAATAGGTAAGATAAGATTTTTCGTAACTTGCCCATAAAACTTCCCTTTAGTCATGGTTTGTCATTTTATGCCTTGGTTTTTCCTAGTGTTTCTATGTTCCCCTGTGTGTCTCTGCTCAGCTGCCCCACATCACACTGCTGATTACCCTTGTGTTTCTCCCCAGGTGTTTTCTGTTCCCTCATTAGTTTTCTGTCTATTTAAGCTCAGTCTTGTCTCTGTCTCATTGTCGGATCATTGTTCTGTCTACCTGGTTGTGTCCTGCTTCATGTTCTTCATCTACTTCCAAGTCTAGTGAGTTTTTGCTGTATTATCAGCCTCTTTGAGTTTTTCGGCCTTGTGCTTTTTTGATTTTTGAAAACTGCCTGTGCCCTGGGTTATTTTGTCAGTCCTGACACCTTTAAAACATCTGAACTATCCTTTTTATACAAATATATCAAGACAAGAAGCTTGGCTATTTTGAACCACCAAAAAAAGTAAATCATCATCACTGCAAAACCGCCATCTTTACCACATAAATAACTTGTTATCTCAATATAAAACACAGACATAATTTTTTAAAGCATGGCCTTTCTTGACCTCCATGAGACTGAGACCAGTGACTGTCTGACTCCTGGGGAGATTATTTTAATAATTAAAACCTGTCATTCATTTGGTGCAGTCAAGCCTATAGAGCTCACAGGTGTCAATCACTTACTATTCCCAGGTTGACCCCAAAATCCTCGTCGGGGAACTCCAGAGACTCAACTAGTCTCGATTGTCGGATCGTACGTCTGCCCGTCCCCACATCATCCCATCTCTTTGCCTGAGACACCTGCCGCAGCTGACACAACACACACACACACACACATGAAAACATTCATTGGCATATACATACAAAATCTCACATCTGTTAGGAAATTATCCTTAAGTGCAATCTGAGAGGAGAGGCAAGTCCGCCCTTGTACCAGCGCGGTCCCCAAACACAGCAAGAGCCACTTTAATATAACTGCTCACATTGCCCAAGAAGAATGTGAATTAAAGACAATTTCTTGATCATCAAAGCGAAGCGAGGCATGATAGAGGACAAACTGGCACTGCAGCAAAACACTGAATGGAGAATGAGACATTACGATGGAGTCGGTGGATGGAATACAAAGCAGAGTGAGGCAGGCAGTCTTATTGCCATGAGTCCATTTCTTTCCACTTTTCTACAGTCGTCATTTGAAACAATTATATTACACAGAGAGGAAAACCTGCAGGGTCAAATCACAGCCTTAACGAGCTGAAATCCTGTTTCTTCATCACCGTAAGCAGAAAACTCTTCCTCACACAGATGCTGCATGTACTTTTTCATCCTGTTGATGGTAAGGGCACCATGAGTTCACCTTTTATTAAATTTTATAAAAGGCTCAAAACTTTCAGGATTTATTCAGATAAAATTTGCCTGGACTCAAGAGACACTCCAGCAGTACAGGGGTCACTAAATGTAAATGTCAGGCTGTTGGTTTTCCTATTGTTGATTTTCAATTTTGACAAATCAGCTTGACTGTCGTTTAAAATGAATATTTTTTTGCACCAATTGTGTTTATCAAAAGCTTCAATTTGAACACAAAACATGATTGTTTGAGCTGCTTTAACAGATTTTACACATTTCCCTCCCAWCTTTTTATATTTACTTCACTGGGGTATTTTAACTGAATGTAAACCAAACTAACAGTCTAACTTAGTGAAAAATAACATTTAATGAATTGCTACATTACCAGTCATTTCTCTATGATACTAATGAATTCTAAGTATAAGATTTCTTTTAGCATGCTAGCTGAGTTACATTTCCGAATTGCATATCAGTACAGACTTAAATGTCAAAATATCGGAGCTTATTTTAGGGATTTTTTTAAAAATGGGAAAAACGTTTTTTAAAACAAATTGCACTAAACACAACTCTATGGGATGTTGTCTGAACACGTAGTCTGTGGTTTCACATAACTACCAAAGGATATGCCAAACTGCCAAACTCATCCGGCTAAGGATATGTTCGAGCTTCTTCCTTCGAGGAGACGGTACCATACAATTAAATGTACTACGTCTCAGCATTTAAATAATTTTTTTCCACAGGCTTTGAGGGTTTTGATTAACTCACATTAACTTTCTCAAGTAACATGGAATGTAATTTAGAATGTGTTCTGTGAATTTATAGTTGGCTGCAGATGAGAGGTTCTGTGTTCAGTGTTTTTGTAAATTGAACTGTTTTTCAATTTTTATTTTTTTTTAATTTTATAATCCTTTTAAATTGTTTATGTGTGCATTATGAGGGTGTGAGCTCTTGCCACTGTTTTTTTTTTCAATGTATAGTTTTTCTACTGCAAATGGCAAATAAACTTGAACTTGAAGTCCTGATTTGGGTGGTACAATCCGGCACACTCAAATGTTCTGCATTTGACAAGTGCTGACCTGGCTTGCTGATGCCAAATACACTACCATGTGACAAAACTATGTGCCTGACTCATCAATAATAATAATAATAAGAAAAAGAAGCTGGCCTGACCTGACCTGACCTGGCTCTGCACAGGCCTATTTGTGCGCAGGCTCTAGAGACAACATTATTGATTTTTCTGCTGAGTAAACACAAAGTTGCTTAAAAGCTACAAGTGTTAAAGTAGTTTTTGCCACAAAAGAGTGTATTTGTCCTGAAGCTATTGAAGAAAAGTACATAGACATGCAAAGGTCGTTGCTGATTTTGATGTGTGGATGTTAATGGAGCAGGGGAGTGATTAAAAGTGATTAATTTGATCTTTAGTTGCTGTGGCAATCATTAGAGAATATATTTATTTTTATTAATAACTATTACATTTTATCTGGACTTAATTGATTTAGTGTTTTGTGTAGTCACTGGTTACCTATGTTTTGTTCTGTTGCCTTCCTAGTAGATTTTTCAGGGTAGCCTGTTTTGTTACGGTGTATTGCTAGTATATGATGAAAGGATATTTTGTAATAAAAGTACAACATGAAGCAGTTTTCACAAGGTCATGGTGCCCAGGATGTAACGAAACAAAACAAAACAAGGGTAATGCCCTTTTTAAATATGATCTCAGATAAAAGGCTTGTAGTAAAYCAGTGATGGACCTTCCAATAAATAAATCATAGACTTATTTAATGTTTCATTAATCCTTTAAAAAAAACTTCAAATAGCTGGAAAACACCTAGTTTTGAGAAAAACTTCCAGGRGCATTGAAAAACAAATTGAAATTGAAAACACAATTGGTATCACAATTGTGATATATGGTGATACTGTCAGTGGGGTGATGTATCCCCTGGACTGCCCTCGCACCACTTCACACTAATTCATAGATGTCCACCATTGCCACCAGCAAATATTGTCAGGTATAGTTTAATGTTAAAAAAGAGTTATGATTGCAATTTTTTTCATAGAATAATACAAAAAAAGGTAGTGTGAAAGGTTCATCTAAGTTACAATCAGCCAAAGCCTGCAACTTAATGTTGTTAGTGCTTAACATGCAGGTTGCTCTTGAGGGCTAACAAGCTGTTAAGGTATGCCAGTTTTACTTGGCTGAAATAACCAAACACTGAACTTTTGGAAACAAAAGGAAAAAAAGTAAACCTTTTAAAATGTATAGAAAAACTTCTTCAAAATGAAAACTATTGGCATGCAATGCTACATGGTGCAGTGTGGAAGACATTTAAAGAGTAGCTACTTTGCTATAATTAATGTTCCTGAAGAAACACTTGATTGAACACACCATCTGATCTATAATACTCCATATAATAATACTCAGACAGTATCACTTTGGTTCAAGAGAAAAACCAAACATAGGCTAGTGTACCAAAAAGTCTGTAAAGTATGAGAACATTCTGAACTTTAAGCAGTGTCAATGTTTACCATGTAAGTAACAACCATTTGAWGGTTTAAATCATATTTAAGCTTTAAACTATCACAGACACTTCTAAAATCTACAAGAAGTCATGCATTAAAGGTGTATTACCAGTACCAGGGTTTTATGAGTGTTATAGAGCTCTTGTAGAATCTGATCCACTATTGAGTTTGTCAGATAGGAGACCACCGACAGCTTCACCTCCCTGAAACAAAACAACAAAACCCCCCACAAAGAAATGATACTTCAGTGGCTCATATGTTTTTAATAGTTGGAACTTTTGAACCTGTTTCTGTTCTTCTTACTCGAGTGCTCTGTTGACATCTTCAGCTGCTCTCTCCATCAGAGCACTGCGGATGGTGGAACGAGGGATGGAAACTTGCTCCGAGATGGACGACAGTGGCGGGCTGAGTCTCTCTGCAGCTGAACAGGACATGGGGCATAACTCGCGACACAGAGACACCATGGAGTCCACCACCACCTAGACAGAATGGACACTGAGTGTTACACCATCATAAGTACAGTCAATTGCAGTGGTGGGCAGCGCTAACCCAAAAATTAGCTCCGTAATTTCTAAAGCGCTTATGAAAATATTTAGGTCCGTAACTTCAAAAGCACTTATGCCATAGAAAAACTAGCAGAAGCTAATTTTAAAGCACAAGTTCAATTTGACACTTACTAGCTGGCAACACTTCACGTACAATATATGCACAACACTGCCAACTAGCGGTGTATGAACCCTTGTACAGCTTAATCCTACAAGCGTTGCTTGCTGGGGATGTGATTTCCTGAAACAGAACTTTGGCTCCTGTTGTAAAAATTAAAAAGTTGTTGAGGATTGCTAGTTTGGCTGCTTCTTTGTTTTTTCTTTTGTTTGTCGTAGATTTTTCATTTATGAAGCATCAATAAAGCGATTTTAAAACTGTTTATTGGAAAACTGAAGCGATACATTCTGGGTATACATGACGGATTTGATTTGTGACGGGAAACGGAAGTTTTCCATGTCGTTGCTCCGGTTGACCACTAGATGTCTGTCTAACACCGTTGGCGGATTGCTTCGACCAATTACGTCAAGTAATGAGCTCCAGCGTTTAAACTTTTTTTAAAAGGAGATCCGATTGTAAAGTAAAATAAATCAATACATACAAAATTTTAGTATGGATTAAAAATGTTTACTGTTWTTGCTGGGAAAGGGAGTACTAAACATTGTCTTCCTGCTATGTAAGCAACCACAAAGCATTGTGGGAAATGAGAACCGTGACCAAGAGCAACAGTCAGCAAGGATGTATACCTTTCCAAAAAAGTGTGTTTATCTGGGAGGGGTACTGTTGGATAGATCACGTGTTGTGATTCATTGACAGCCATACCTTCCACTGTTCAAGATAATGTTGACTGGTAGATAATTAGTTATTAGTGGTACTGCATTTTATTTTAGAAAGTGCAAATCTGCTTATGAATTATAAAAATTAGTAAGAATGCAAAAGCGCAAACAAAATATGTAGGTCCRCAATTAGTGAATTTGCACTTTAGTGGAATGGTGCTGATGACTGATCAATTGGATCAGTTCTCAAAGAAGTGTTTAATCTTCATCTGCACTGTGACTATCTGCTTCAGTTTTCATCTTCTTAAAGGAAGCTCCGACTAGTTGTACTATTAATTCACTTCACTTCAGTTTATTTAGTTATAGTGATGGGATAAATGGCTCTTTGAAGGGATCCGGATCTTGGGGAGCCATTTGTTTCATAGAGCCGTTCAAAAGAGCTGTACAATTTTGAACAAGTTACGTCATCACATACAGCGACATGATGACGTCATCTTGTTACGTGGGCAGAACCATGTGCTTTTTCAAGCAGAAACCCCCCTCCCCGTTTCCGTGAGCTTCTGTACTCCACCACTCTGCCTGTTTTCTGTGAAAAAGCAAAGCGGGAGTGATTTAAGGATGAAAAATGAAGACTATATGAAGAATAAAATAAATAAAACTACAAATGGCTTGTTACTGCCCGCGACTCGGCTCCTGTCGTTCGTTGTAAAGAGCCGTTCAAAAGATTTGGATCATTCATGAACGTCACATCACTATTTATTTAGCACMAAGTCACAACAAAAGACGTCTCAGGGCACTGTACAAAAAAGAAAAATCAAAGTAAGCCAGCAGATTGTGTTGAATCACCTTTCCACAGGCATCTTTTCTAAACAGCACATTGGCGACAGTGGAAAGGAGAAACTCCCTTTTAACAGGAAGAAACCTCCAACAGAACCAGGCTCAGGATGAGCGACCATGTGCTTCAACCGGCTGGGTTTGAGATGACATTTTAGACAGTATTTGATAAATATTTACGTCAACCAAACAAACAAGACTAAAAATATGCTTTAGGCTATATTTTATAAATAAAAAATGTGTGACATTGCTGTGTTACTTACATCACAAAGCTTTCTGTGTAAATTACATTTACTGGTCCTCTGGTTTGAGGTTTATCCTTTTTAAATAGGGGTTTTCCGATACCAGTTTTTTTTTTTTTCAAACCAAGTATGAGTATGGGTAATTCACTTTGGGTACTTGCCAATACCGAGTACTTACCTGAGGTAGAATTTTCTACTTACAGTATATTTTGTTTTAGAACAAGATTGCTCTCCTACAAACAATCTGACGGCATCAAATCAAATCATGACATTACAAGCCCTGTTGCAACATTAAGACGACTGTTCTTCAATGCGCTTAAGTTTTTTTAAGAATGGAACTCATAAACTTCTCATGAGAGGTGTAAACTGTAGTTGTGTTTCCATCAACAGTTTTTTATGCACAGATGCAGATGGAAGTATCACATTTAAAAAGGTTGATGGAAATGGCAAAATTTAAAAAAAACATCCTCATTTTTGCAAAATTGTTTTTACGCTCACCTGAGGTATTTTGGGGGAATTTCTGGACAAAAAATAATGTTGACGTCTGATGTAATTACTCTTGGCATAGCCTGGTTGATTCGCTCACAATAGCTGTGGATGGAAACACACCTGATTTTTTATTTGTATTTTTTGCAACATTTCAAAATGTGTGTAGAGGGTCACCTCAAGTGAAGAAACAAGATTTTTTGCCTCTAAGCAGGCCTCGGACGGGCCTGAGAAGAAGACAGGAACTCTGTTACAAACTGAACTCTATTTAGGCCATGACAGGTCATTCTAACCCTGGAAGAGAACCCCTCAGTTCTCTTAATCAGATAATGGACAGAACAATCTCCTTGGTTCGTGATTCATTTGTCATTTAACTAAGAATGTTTGTGCATTTGTTAAATCATGATAATGACTGTCACAGGAAAAGTAGAACAACTTCTTTTCTCTTATTGTGCCTTAAAGATTTATAATGGCATAAAAAATCACAGAGAATCTGATTACAATGTTTTCATTRTGTTTTTATGCAAATCACTGTTTTTATTTTACTGTGAACACAGTAATATAATTGTGGATTTTTCCTGAGAAAATCTTTCATTTATCTGGACTAACAGAATGGTTCAGAGTTGATTATAAACATAAATCTTACAGTTAATCAGCATGAAATGTTTTGCAGTGATTTTATTTGGAGTCTATCAGAAGGAAGTTAAGAAGAGGTTATCATGTTGTGTGTTTTATCAACCACACAGTGTAACCTTGACTGGCACCTGGCAAATCTTTAGCTTACYTTTTTCTGACTCATCTTTAAGCTTGAGGGCGGAACCAAAGTCGTCCGTTCTTATTACTAACCCGGACGGCTTTGAGCGATATACTCTGACTTCCTACTTCAAACAAGGAAGCAGCTGTTGCTCCTCTTCGGAGGAACTCAGCTTTGAGCTGAAAATCCGACTCAAGCGCCAAAGAGTGGATTTTTACAGTCAGGGATTCGACAAGCCCGTCGGAATCAACCTCCAAAGCATTTAATTTCCCTTCCGATGGTGAAGAGGATTTATTCTGAAGGAGAAACCGGATGCAGCTCAAATTTTTCTGGCTCAGGACTGAGGCAGACGCAGAATGTTACCAGAGAAATAACACGTTTTGCCAATGACTGGTGAGCGAACCGACAACTGTTTTCTGGCCGATCGGAGGTGAGCCAACCTTGCTACTCAGAAGGTGTCAAGAAGTCATCATCAGGTAAAAGGCTGAAGTGTTTTTGGTGACGTGTCCGGCGGAAACTGGGTTCAGAAAAGACGTGCAGTTCCGGTTGACTCACATTTTGTTAAAAAGTAAAAGCAGTAGAAATACTAACCTTACTTTTCCTCCTTTTTGTTGTTACTATTTGCCTTRCCAGAAATTAAGTTAATGTGCCAGTAAATGTTTGGTATCTAGCATCAGAACTGATGTTACTGCTCTATTATAAGTGATTTGAGTTGAAATGGATTGAATTTGGACGCAGATTTGTATCTTATTAATTCTGAAAGCTTGTTATAGGAAGCTATTACCCACAATTGAGTTGTAACTCATGATTTGTTTAATTTATGTAAATAAATGATCGCATAGTCATTTATGCATCAAATTGAACTCATCTGAGTGTTCCACTTTTTGTTTCATTTTCACTTCACATGGTCAAGATATTGCCGAAGAATAAAAAATTCCTTGGTAAATAATTTCCTCATAACCTTGTGTATGAGAGATGTGGGAAAGGCTTGTATTTCTCTAAGCCAGATCCTACATGTGCATTACATTGGATAGAAACATGGCATTCAATTAGATATATAAATATAAATGTTAAAATTGGAAAGTTTCTGATGTCGAGCCCTTCTAAACTAAATTGCTTTAAGTAATTAGGAGTTTTCACAACAAAATGTTAAGGACAACATGTGCAAGTAGTTGGAGATCCCTTTAAACTGTAAATGCATAACAGCTGTTTGCTCAGCTATAATCTGTTCACACCCTCCTACAGATGTTTCCTTCCATCCTTTGGACATAACCAACTAAAATCTTGCAAATCACAAACCCCTCAGTTCAAAAACCCACAAAACAAATTCGACAAAGTCTTTACAGCCGCCTCCTTAATATACTGTATGTTCACTTTTAAATCATTGTGTAAATTTCAATGTGGCGAGAAAAATAAACAAATAAATGTTTCCTTCCTGCAAAATTAAACGCCAGATTTCTTCTGAAGTCAGCACACCTGCACGACATTAATGGGCAATTTAAATGCAACTGGTTCACAAGTGTTTAAAATTACAACCGTGTGTGTGTGTGTGGGGGGGGGGGACTCTGTAGACTCAGCAAATGTTTTGGGCCTTTGGGTTCTACCTGCAGCTCCTTGTCGGCAGCCTTGGCCAGCTCTCCTGCCAGGATGTCCAGCCGCTGTTTGACGGGGCCGTCCACAGACAAAACGTGGGCCAGTTCGCACAGAGACGGGTACAGCTGATGGACACACACACACACACACACANACACACACACACACACACACACATACACACACACACATATGCATGCACAGAACTCATTAAGAACTCTTGAACAAGAACACACGGCTCCAAGCAGAAGCCCTACAATCCTATTTATATTCACACTAATGTTACATCATCACAAAAACACACTGAAAGTATTCCAAATGGGAGAAAAGTCAAGAAGTTTGTCATGGTTATTTGCTTCATTATAATCTTTTGTCATATTTTTATCAACACATTATCTTGCATTATGTTTGCTGGATTATGTAAGAGCAAATTACATTGTGAACCTAGGGAATTGGTGATGATGCATGAAACTGTTGTACATTCTTCCTGGCATGAAAACTATTAGCACTGCAATATAACCTAACCGCATCAGTGCCTCCTTTGTATAAACTTGATGATTACAAAACTTCCCACCCATAAGTCACAGAGAGAGGGCAGATTGTTTGTTTTTAACTAGAATTTATTTTTTCCACAAAAAGTTAAGTTTTATGAATGACTGCTCATTATTTAAAGACTGAATCATCTTCATAAAATGTAGAAGTGAAGCTATAATTATGCTAATGAAGTTTGAGTTGAGTTTCAGCTTGAACTGTCAGCAAGAAGCTCTATCTGTTGACCATTTTTCCCCTTAATGAAATCTCTGTCAACCCTGTGTTTTAAATAAATGTCAGCTTGTCAAATAACAGGGAGTTAATTTCATCCATTGACATCTTAAATGTTAATGCAACACATTTAGATGTACATAATATTCTTAAATGCAGAGTTTATTTAGGGATGTGTTTCCTCTCACACAGTGACTGCTGAAGATGGGCACCAGCTGCAAATATCTTAGCTAATAAATGTATCGTCCTGTTCACAGTCTGTGACCTCGCCAGGATCAAGTAAGGACAGAAAAATGAAAGAAGACATGTTAAACCTAAAGAATCTAATTCCTAAGCAATTTCTAATCTTAAATAAAATGATCCAGTTTGATCAGAATTTATTCATTACTTTTTACAAACTTTCACGAGTTTCATTAAGGGAAAAAGTGATATTTTTYATGCGCAGCATGAAGTTCAGCCACAACTGGAGATAAAACAATCTGAACTGTGAGGCTCAGCAGTGAGTTGTCTAAAGATTTAACAGCTTTTTGAACACTTAACCAGTTGCACTCCCTCATTTTTTGTCCATTCAGAATGCTGTGTGGATGGATTTGCTTTTAAACTGTTCTGGATCTGTGTATAGGTTTTTGGGTAATAAATACTTTGTGTTTGGAACAAAAAGACTTATATACTCCTCTTTTTGTATTTATACTTGTTACTTCCAAATGTGTCAAATCAAAAACCCGTGAGCTGCGTAAAAACACGGAAACATTTAGAACAAGTTATGTTTTATTGGAGGTCTTATAGATCTTTAGATTTTTCCCAGAAACAAACAACCATCTATATCACTTCACTGCTGCTCTGATAATTAACTGTCTCAGTATTTATCAACAAGGGAAAACATTTTTTAACAACTCAGTAAGCCAGATTCTTCTTAATTGGTCCTAAAGGCTTTTATAATAAACGCGTCAAAGAAGAAAAATAAATCATTTACCGAAAGTCTGCTAGTGGTTAATTCAGTTCTTTATTAAAGTAAATGTTTTAATTTAAGTTTACTTTTCTAAAATCAAATTATTTAGAGAAGGTTTTACTTTCCTCTCTTTTTGTCAGCGTTATTGCTTTCAATTATTCTTAAAGAAAAAAAGAGTACAGCACGATAAACAAAGCTTTAAAAAAACAATCAATGCTGCATTCCAGTGAGTTTTAACCTTTTTGTGTTTATTCAGATCACATGTGGGGTTCTTTTCACAAGACTTTGATTTATTACAACATCCAATATATCATCAAAAATCAAAGTGTTTAAAAAGCTCTAAAACAGCAACTAGTAGGTCACCTTTTCTAATTTCCTCTCCTGTTACTCAGTTGACTTTTTTTCAGATTTATCAGGTGGGTTTTAGTATCCAACTATATAAATGTTTAAAAAAACAAGGAAATTAAAACCCTGCCTCTAACAATTTGCAATCTGTGCTGTAAAACTGAACATACACAGGTTTTTTACTGAGGTCTAATGTTAAATTCAGTATTTTTTTTAATATTGTAGCTGAAACYAAACCATAAATGTTATTTATATACTTTGAGTACAATTTTATGATCATTCTCTGACAATAATCTTCCCAGTAGGACTTTTTATGCGTTGCTATCTGGTTAGTTTTATAGTAACCCAACACCTGCATCTGATTTTTATGTTTTTGTGTGCATTTCTATCCTTATTAGGACCGTTCATTGACTTCAATTCATTCCCAGTTGTTTCTATAGCCTAAACCTTACATGTTATCCTAAACCTACCACTCCCAGTATACTTATCCATAAACCTAGCCTAAACTGTATTCACACCTTAGTCTTAAGCCAAACCCACAACCCAAAARTGGAGTTCCCCTATATTAGACCAGTCCTTGTGTGGACCATAAGGACCACTGGTCTTGCCTAGGTAGGTGTGCATACCATAAACAATCCTAAAAAGGTAACAAATACAAGTGTACACAAACACACACACACACATACAGAGCTGACTTACAGCTCTTGAGTTCCTGGCCTCTTTTAGGATTTGTCTGGCTGTCTGGACRTCCTCTCCATCCTCACAGCCTTTCAGGACACAAACCTGCTGCTGCACACGCACACACAGACGCTCCATCACCTGCACACAAGCAATCATTCATTAATGCATTTTTTAAACATAAAACTACAAGTTTACATTGAGAAGAAAAATCCTTGACTCATTCATTTCATCTCCCTGAGCACAAGTTCAAACACACACACACACACGCACGCACGCACGCACGCACGCACGCACGCACGCACGCACGCACGCACGCACGCACGCACGCACGCACGCACACACACACACACACACACACACCTGTTCAGCTGTGCTGGTGACGAGACCCTGGTGGAGCCTAAGAGCCTGTTTCTGAGAGAAACGCTGAGTCTGGTTGTTCCTCAGCAATGCACGCTGGATCTGTCACACACACACACACACACACACACACACACACATAGAAAACAAACAAAGAAAAGACAGGTGTTTACAAAGTGCAGCGTTCAGGAGATCGGAAACAAGTGCATTTGCATGATAATAGGGAGGCAAAAGAAAAAGAAAACAACAATGGATTTCTTGAAGTAAAAAAAATGTCTGACTTTATCCCCCCTTTACTCAGCAGGTGAAAAACATCCCCACATCATCATGATTTCTTGCAAAGAAAGATGGTACCAAGCATTGCTCAAAGACTTCTAGAGATTCAGACAATGTGGGGGCGAGCAAAGCCCCTAAAAAAGCTAAAAGATCATCTGATCAATTGCAGATTTAATCTGATGTAACAAGTGCCTGCAATCAGAAGTCCTGCTAAAGTTATTTCAACTCGCAGTCTTGTGTTTCCATTAAACTGTGGACTTTGCTTTGACTTCCATTACTTTTAGTCACTGCATATGCCTAATCCAGTCATTTTCCTAAACTCTAACCATTACTAGTCTATCCCTAACCCTAACCTTAACCAAAACTGAATTCACACAATACCTCTAAACCCAACTAGTAGAGCGCAAATAAATAAATAAATAAATAAATAAATAAATAAATAAATAAATAATGCAAGGACTGAAAAATGTTCTCACATCCCAAAAATGACCTCAGTTTGTTGGTTAAAAACATATGACGGTCCACACTCTGTAGCACACACACACACACACACACACACACACACACACACACGCACACACTTACTGCTGCTGTTTTTCTGATAATGGAGCTGTCGGGGAGTAGACATGCGTCACAAACTGAACAGCATTTGCACTTAAAGTAAAACTCATATTCTGGTATTAATCAATACTAATTTGTTACTCATTTAATAATTTTATGACCTTTTTAGTCCTTTTTAGTCATATGAATTAAAACAAAATACTACAAGCAAGAGTGTGTATATTACTGAAACAGTCAAGATGAAACAGAGAATACTAAATAACAATGTTGTGTTAAATTATTTTAAGTGGTACTCCTAAATAATGTGCCGTGCTCTTATTTTTTTTTTTAATTTAGAAGCCCTACAGCTTTTGAGGAAAAAAAAATCAAGTACCTTTATAAAACTTTTGCTTAATAATTTAGCTTTTTCTGGGTGGAATCAAATGCTTTTGAATATTGAGTAATTTTGTTTCAGTAGCAACTTTGGAAAGTTAGTATCATGGCAACCCAACCTCAGACAGAGTTAATTGTTTCTCCTGTCAAGATATGATGCACAAAATGAGATTATTATTAGAATATTAATATCAGTAGGGACTCAACTTCTGTTGAGAAAGCTGAGCCTGGGGACTTTGGGTTGGGCTCTCCGATCTCTGGGGACGAGGTCGCCGAGGTGTTAAAAACTCCTCTGTGGCAGGGCCCCGGGGGTGGATGAGTTCCACCCGAAGTTCCTTAAGGCTCTGGATGTTGTAGGGTTGTGTTGGCTCACGCGACTCTACAATATCACATGGACATCGAGGGCAGTCCCCCTGGATTGGCAGACTGGGGTGGTGGTCCCCCTGTTTAAAAAGGGGGACCGGAGGGTGTGATCCAATTACAGGGGGGTCACACTCAAGCCTCCCTGGTAAGATCTATTCAGAGGTCCTGGAGAGGAGGGTCCGTCGGATAGTCGAACCTCGGATTCAGGGGGAGCAGTGCGGTTTTCGTCCTGGGCGTGGAACACTGGACCAGCTCTACACCCTCAGCAGGGTCCTGGAGGGTGCATGGGAGATCGCCCAACCGGTCTACATGTGTTTTGGGGGCGGCTGTGGCGGAGTGGTTAGG